CAGGTTGCAGACTTATTATACCTTCACATGGCAGAAGGGACAAGCTACTTCTCCAGGGGCCTCTTTTATAAGGGCACTAATCCCATTCACCAGGGCTCCACCCTCATGACCCAATCACTTCCCAAAGGCCCCACCACCTAACACTATCACCTTGGGCATTAGGCTTTCAACATATGAATTTTGGGGGCACACAAACATTTAGACCATAGCAAAGATCCAGGAAAAAAAAAACAGAATCTATTTTTAGATTCTAAAATCTTGCTGCTTTGCCCACCCCAGCAAGAACACTCCCTCCTATGCAGGCACATGCATATACACACACACAATAAAAACACAGGAAAACAAGCAGCCCTTTTATGGATAAACACTAAAAACTAAAGAAATGCATTATATAAAGAGTAAAATTCCTGCTACCAACAAGGGATTAATTTCCAAAATATACAAACAGCTCATACAGCTTAATATCAAAAAAAAAAAAAAAACCCAATCAAAAAGTGGGCAAAAGACCTAAATAGACATTTCTCCAAAGACATACGGATGGCCAATGGACACATGAAAAGATGCTCAGTATCACTAATAATTAGAGTCATGCAAATCAAAACTATAATGAGGTATCTCCTCACACCAGTCAGAATGGCCATCATTAAAAAGTCTCCAAATAGGGCTTCCCTGGTGGCGCAGTGGTTGGGAGTCCGCCTGCCGATGCAGGGGACACGGGTTCGTGCCCCGGTCTGGGAGGATCCCACATGCCGCGGAGCGGCTGGGCCCGTGGGCCATGGCTGCTGGGCCTGCGTGTCTGGAACCTGTGCTCCGCAGCAGGAGAGGCCACAGCAGTGAGAGGCCCGCATACCACAAAAAAAAAGAAAAAAGTCTACAAATAAAAAATGCTGGCGATGGTGTGGATAAAAAGGAACCGTCCTACATTGTTGATGGGAATGTAAATTGGTGCAGTACAGAGGTTCCTTAAAAAACTAAAAATACAGTTACCATATAATCCTACAATCCCACCCCTGGGTATATATCTGGAGAAAACTCTAACTTGAAAAGATACATGCACCCCAATGTTCAAAGTAGCACTATTTATCAATACAATAGCCAAGACACAGAAGCAACCTAAATGTCCATCGACGAATGGATAAAGAAGATATGGTGTGTGTGTGTACATATATATATATATATATATATATATATATATATATATATATACACACACACATACACACACACAATGGAATATTACTCAGCCATAAAAAAACAAAATAATGTAATTTGCAGCAACATGGATGGACCTACAGATTATCTTATTAAGTGAAGTAAGTCAGACAAAGACAAATATCGTATGATATCACTTATATGTGGAATATAAAAAAATGATACAAATGAACTTACTTACAAAACAGAAATAGACTCACAGACATAGAAAACAAACTTATGGTTACCAAAGGAAATACTGTGTGGGGGGACAGGGGCAGGAGATAAATTAGTAGTTTGGGATTAACATATACACACTACTATATATAAAATAGGTAAACAACAAGGACCTACTGTATAGCAGAGGGCACTATACTCTGTATCCTGTAATAACCTATAATGGAAAAGAATCTGAAAAAGAATATATATATATTTGAATCACTTTGCTGTACACCTGAAACTAACACAACATTGTAAATTAACTATACTTCAATTTTAAAAACTGAGGTTAAAAAAAAAGTAAAATTCCTGCTTTTTGGTCGCAGGCTTTGGTGTTTCCTGAGTCTTCTGAGTTCAGAATTGTTGGAATTGGCAATGGCAAATCCAATGAGGGGAAATGATGTAGAGAAAACAACTCGTGTTTCCTCCTCACACTGGCATAAAAGAGAACATATAAATGGAAGAAAATACAGAAGTAAATATATTTCAAAACCTAAAAATCACTGAAAGATTACTTGTCAGTGCAAATGAAAAGTTTTAATTTCTGTTCCTGGGTCTTACACAAAGACCTCATAACATGAAAAACTATTTCCACTAAAACTCTTTATTACAAAGTGTGGTACTGAGAGCACCAGAACACCAAAGGCTCAGACAAATATATAAACCACTGGGTCTAATGCCAGTAACTGCTGAACAAGGTGAAGAGTCAAACATGAGAAAGAAAACCTTAAGTAGAGCTTAAAGAACATTAGCACACATGTAAACCACACAAAAGGATGGTCCTGCTCAGACTGATAATCAAAAGTGAAGGAATACCAAGGCAGGCATTCTGGAAATTCATGTGTGCAAATGCCTGACATGTAGAGGATGCTGCTACAGGCTAAGCCTACACACAAAGACCATGAAAAAATTCCTCCTGTGGGATAAGCCTGGGAGGGGATAAGGGAAATGACTGTTTCCTTGGTTAAGAAAGGGGAGGCTGTTTTAAAAGCCCTACTAAAACCTGTAGAACAAATAGCAATGCGAAGGCAAAACACATGTTGGAAGAAAAGATTAAAGGGAAATTTGACTTTTACTAAGAGAAAAGGTATTGCATGGAACTGAAAGAAGCAGTAATGAACAAAAAAGATAGTTTGAACTATTCACAGAAAAATGGGGAGCCACATTTATCAGTCTGAATTATCTTTAAATGAAAGTTTGATAAAGCTTTGGCCAAGTTTACCTTAATTCTAAATCTTAGAAGAATTTCAGCCTACCATGACAGAGACAAGGGAGAAATCAAGTTATAGTGAAATCTTTCAATATTTTGCACAAGGAGACAATTTTCTCCACAAAGAAAAAAATCACTAGAAAAGAATTGTGGATATCCTGTCATGCTTAATGTAATGCCTTATTTCTACCAGAGGAAGCATAATAAAGACCTCCTCTGACAAATATAAAAGGTACTTTTTTTAGACTGACACTTCCATGACAGTTAGATAACCTCTTGGAGCTGTCTGAGGGGAAAAGCTTACTTAGCTTTAAGGTCCTTATAGGCAGGGAGTGTATATTCTGTGCTTCTAGTAGGTGCACAAATCCAATCCAATACCCTGCTTGGTAAATATCTAACCACATATTAACTCAATAAAAAGGAATTTTAAAAACTTTTTTGGACACAACGTCAGACTTATAGAAAAGTTGCTAGAGCAGTACCAAAAAAATTCCTGTATACCCTTTACCCAGATTCCCCAAACGTTAACATTTTGCACAGCATCATGTACTTTCTCGTCCTTTCTCCTATCTCTGTATCTCTTTATACACACACAGACTACAAAAATTGTAAATACATATACTCCTATTTCCTAAGAACAAGAATATTCTTATACATAAACAAAGTACACCTATCAAAATCAGGAAATTAAAAACAATCCAATACTACAGACCCCTTCCATATTTCACCAATTATTCTACTCATGTTCTTCAGAGAAAAAGAAAATCCAACTCATGCACTGAGTTCAGCTGACATGTCTTCTTGTCTCCTTAGTCTGGAGCAGTTCCTTGGTCTTTGTCTTTCCCAACTTTGACATTTTTAAAGACTACAGGGCAGTCACTTTGTAGAATGTGACTTCAATTTGGGTTTGTCTAACGTTTCCTTATGATCAGATTCGGATTATGCATGTTTTGGCAAGACTCTCACAGAAGGGATATTGTGGTTTTCTCAGCATACATGTCAAGAGACACAAGATGTTGATTTGTTCCCTTACTGGTTGTGTTCACTTTGAGCATTTGGGCTTATGGTGGTGTCTCCACTATAAAATGACTAATTTTCCCTTGATAATAAATAAAGATCTTGCAGGGAGGAAAGTTAATTTGTCTTTAAGTAAAGCAGTACTAGAGTGAGAGATGTGTTTTAAATATATAAAGAGCAGAAAAATATAAATGAATCAAGAATAAAGAAAATAACTTTTAAAAAACTAGAATATATTTAAAGCACCATGTGCCAATTTTTTTAACCATATGATATATACTGTTTTTAATAATGGTCTTAAAATTTCTTTTTCTATAGAGACCAAGTCTGGATGAAAGAAATAAATTGGTGATAAGTGAAAAAAAAAAAAAGAAAAAACAATGATTCATAACAATGTATGTGAAAGTGTTGAATAGAAGGCTTACTTGGAATGGCTATAAGCATTAAAAAAAAAGACTGAAAACATATACTTTTGTGCATTTATGGGGATAACTGTGTTACACTGTTTCATATGAAAAGATCAATAGACTGTATTATGACACATGACTGACTCTAATACACATATCACCACCATTAGGGCTTTACAAAACTGTATTTAAAAAAAAAACTATAAGCAGATGTTGTCCTGGACAGTCCTCAAAGGATCACTATTAAGATTCAATGATTTCAATAATAAATAAAAAAATAAACAAACAAACAAACAAATAAGATTCAATGAAATGTTTCCAAACTTTGGCTTCCCATCAATCCCTCTAACATACTGCTGACATCAGTCCTAACGGACCAGTGGAATAGGGGCACAGGTGTAGAGGAAGTAAAATAAAAAATTAAACAGATAAAATAAAATATTAATAATAAAATTTCAAAACGGTGAGGCCAATATTGAACTTCTAATCTACAGAACTGTAAGATAATTAATTTTGTGTTGTTTTAAGCCACTAAGCCTGTGATAATTTGTTACAGCAGCAATAGAAAATCAATAGGGTACCCTTTGAAGATGTCAATTATACCTAAATAAAACTGGTAAAATTTTTTTGTTAATTTTAAATTTAAAAAATGTTTAAATAAAATAAAACAAATTTTTAAAATAAAATGTTGCCAATCTGAGTTTTGTGAACCCTCGAAATGATGATCAAAAGGAAGTTAATATGGAACTGGAGAAAGGCAGAGTTGAGAAACAATCTATAAATTAAATCCTGGCAAAGACGAATGTTGCCATCAGGAGAAAAGTTTTCAAAATACCATTGTGGAAACATCAGGTGAGTAACATTTTTGCCCAGCCTTAACTAAAGTCAAAGCACACTATCAAGGAACTGAATTGGGACTCAAAATTATTTAATAAGAGGCTAAAAAAAAGACACAGTTCTTTATATTTCTTTATTTTCACATACACTCTGGCTAAAAGAGCAAGAGTCCACATCAACAAAAAATGGAAACAAGGCTTTGGCTGAAAAACATGCACTCAACAAATCACGTTAATAGCCAGACAAGAAGAAAGTCAGCTTTGTAAACTTCAATTTCATTTGATTCAGAGAGAAACTTAGCATGTATTTTAAAAGTAACAAGAAAATAGAGTTTGAAATCTTTTACTGTGGGAAAACATTAACATCTTTCTCAAAGAAAATAACTGTTTTTAAAAGGGACCCAGTAGAAAAATCAAGAAAGTTAAATTGTGGACCACTTGGAATGACATTCTTTCGAGCATACTTACAAATTGTTTGTGTTCCCGGGATGAAAAAGATTGTCATGTCTCCAACAACAGTAAATTGATGTTCCTTGGAATAGAAGTCAGTCTCTACCTTTAAAAATATATGCCTTCTTTGAGGAAACTCCTATATCTTGTAGCTTTTTTACATTCTGGACAATTAAATGGACTCAGGTCATAAATTATGAAACTAATAATATCACTGAGGTAAGCAGCCCGAAAGCATTTGCAATATATGTACACGTTCAATATAAAAATCCTTTATATATATATTTTTATCTGGCATTCAGTTTTGAAAAATTCAGTCTCATATGTGGTATATTTCAAATGATACCTTTAAGTCAATGATTTCTTTCGACTGCAGTAAAGAAGATATGGCAAGAAAAATGCTGCAGTGCCATCTTCTGGGAGGACATTTAAGAAATCCCTTAGTTGTAGTTCCACAGCAACAACTGACAGTGTTTCTGTTTGTAGGAAAGAATATCTGAGTTAGAACTGAAATTCTGTCTTTCGTCCTATTCTCTTATCACTCAACCAATTAGAAGCTAATTCAGGTGACAAAATGTTATAACTACGAGAGAGAGAGGAAAAAAACCCCAGAAAACCAGTCTTTTAAATCCACAGACTGCTTTATGGTTCTAACAACTTCTTATTTATTCTTTCTAGAATCATTTGTAGGAAAATACAATCAATTGAACACTGTTTTTAATGTTAGGACTATATTGCAGCTGATTTATAAAGACTGTTTGCTAGGACAGGAAATACTATTAATTGTTGGATGACATTTTCCTAAATCAATTCCTCTCTATTATAAGATGTTTATGTTATTAATAAGCACAAATATGTTTTCGAGACCATTTACTTTTTTTCTCAAACTGCAAAATAATGTGTTCTAATGAATATTTTAAATATTAAGGAATTTAGTAAACATTTTTGTAAAGGTAACTATGTAATTTTATGATTCTGTTGTTTCTCGATGCATGCATGCTGCCCTCTGCTGGGAAGAGAAGGGGGTGACATTTAAGAACAATGTTCCCAAACCTTCTTCAGTCCGTTCCGTGTGTGATTCTTGCATGCCCACCACTTATTCTATTTGCAGAGTAACCGGAATATAAAATCTCCGGCTCAGGTGTGCGTGCATCCATCCAAAGTCATCTGTCCAATATCCACCAACCTAAACCATCCCTTACACAAAGGAATGACATGCTCTTGTTGCTAACAAGTTAGTGAATAGTGTGACGTATGAGAAAGCTCCCTAGCTCTGGAATCGTACAGACTCGGGCAGGGATCACACTCTTCTACTTATGCTCTGGGTGACTTTAAGAAAGTCAACTCCTGGGTCTTGGTTTCCTCATTTATAATGTAGTGGTACCATCTGCTAGCTTCCAGAGTCCTTTGTGAATTAATTTAAAACACAATGATGCACATCTGACACAAAATAGAACTTTAATAAACAATAACTGCTAACTAATTTGTAAAACCCATGAATTACCAATGTTTTCCTATCAAACTAGTTTATTTTGCCTAAATGTGGAACCTGTAAGTAGTATCCTAGATACAAAAAACTGAGGTGGGGGCCAGTGTAAAGTAGGTATAGAGCCAACAAAAATCTTGCCACTGCTCTATTCTCCTCTCCCTCCAACTACTGAAAGGCTAATACAGGTTACAACTCCAAGAACAAGGTCAATATCTTAAATCCATAGAGTACTTTAAATCCTCCAGTGTGTCTAGAAAATACGTGTCAAATGTTGAAAATAGTTATTTCTGGCTGGTGAAGTTTAAAATGACTTTTAAAACTTTGTAATTTACTATAGTACTAGAATTTTTATTAATAAGCACAGCTCACTGTCACAAAAACAGTCATAAGTACTGCCTTGAAACAAAGAAGTCAACCACTAACCCCAGTTTCAATGGCTCTGCATTAGTGCAACAGTTCTCAACTAGTACAGTTTTGTCCCCCAGGGGACATTTGGTGATGGCTGGAGACACTTCTGTTTTAACTGGGCAAGTGCTACTGGTATTTAGTGTATTTAGTGAGTAGAGGCCAGGGATGCTGGTAACACCCTAAAATGCACAGGGGGCACCTACACACAAATTATCTGGTCCAAGATGTCAGCAGTGACAAGGCTGAGGAATGCTGCATTAGAGAGCAAGAAATCCAAGCTCCTAAGCATATTATGTAAGTCCCTGACCTCCATCTCCAACCTCACCATCTTGCAATTTTTGCCTAACATTTTACTCTAGAGTCAGTCCTGAACCTCCCATTGGTCCCAGGCAATTAAAAAAACTGGCTTGCTTCAGGATACTCAGTAAGTAGCAGACTTGGAACTCAGTTCCAATTCTCCTAATTCCAATCCTGGTCCCTTCTTGGTATACCACAGCTGCCAACAGAGAGACTCCCCATGAAAACGGACCTGAGGTTATTCAGGTGTCTTCCCTTCAAATCCATCAATAGTTATAGAATACTCCATATGGAGAAGCAATTGCTGGCAAGGAAAGTGCATCATGAAAAATGAATAAAACACTATACCAGCTCTGGAGGTATTACAATAAAGGTAAATCACACACAGCATTTAGTTCCCATAAGCCACACACATACATACATGCACATGTGTGTGAATACACGCATATTAAAGACACAGAAAAATGGAACATTTGGAGGAAAGATTAGGGGGTAGTTATGAGTTTGTGGGTGTGGATCAGAAAAGGATGAAGAAAGAGTCGTTTGACTAAGATAATGATGTTACCGGGGTGTGAAGACGTGGGCTATCTGTACCGGAAAGTGATCGACCAACAAGAATAATCAGTTCAAATTTATGTGATAAATTTGGTGCAGATGGGGCTGGGCAATCAAACACCTGAAGCTTCCACCTTCTGACAACCAAAAAATCACTCAGAGAGGTGGGTAGGACAAATAGTACAAAGGCCCCTCCCAATTTGATTGTCTTCCCAATCAAAAACATACAACTTAATAGGAATTTCCAGAAAAACACCATCCAATGGCCACTTGGCTTTGCCTAACACTTTGAAAGTCAATTCCCTCAGCTGGAAAATACAATTCCAACACTGTCAACTTCTAATATTTTATGCACACTGGTATCAATATAACCATACCTTTGTCACCAGGCCAACCATTAACTGGTGATATTAACACACAAGAGTAGCGAAACTGATAACCATATAGCTATCAAGATTTATAAATGACTATGAATTATAAAAATTCAAACAATAACTACCTACGCTGTAAAATACTGCATAATTTAGACACACTACACTTCTAAATCTTTGAGAAATTTATCATTCCTCAGTACTTGCTTACAATTATTAATAATGATAATAATTTTAATTTCCTACATGAAGTAAATTAAGCACCCAGACCATTAATATAAAACGGACTTTAATGGCTATTCCAATTTTTAAAATACTGAAGCTGTGAGTTTCTCTGACTGTGATACTTTGTTAAGTGTCTGGAAAGATTAACTTAAAAGCATCAGCTCTAGAGCTAAAAGAGATAAATGAATATCAAATGTGGTGGCGGGAGCACATGAATGTTAAAAATAAGCTCTCCAGTTGATTCTGCGAAGACCCTCTTCCCCACACTTGAGAATCACATGAAAAACGAGAGACAGCAAGGCTTCAGCCAGTTATGGAAATGAGTACCCTCAACTCAATTTATAATCAAGCAAAAGAGATTATTTTACCTTTTAGTGATGATAAGTAAAGTTGGTATTTCTCTCCACCACATTTTATTCTCTGACAAAGTTCAGGCAGCAGCTTTTTCCACCACAAAGTCTATCTTAGGGAAAAATGAATACTTTTTAAGTTTGATGCATTTTACACTCAGATTTCCAACAAGAAGAAAAAGATTGTGCAGGGAAGCCCAGGGCAAAAATACATCATCTTGGTTAAGGAACAGACTTTGTTAGAACAGTCAGTCTTCTGCTTAAGCTAGAGCATAAAAGTCAGATCTGTAACTTGAAAATCTAATAATATATACACTGTACATATGTACACCGCTATTTTCAAGAAGAAACATAGACGTGTCTTGTTTTCATCTCTTAGGTAGCAAGAAAGTTCTAAAGTCAAAAACTCTTCTAATTTCTAAAGACCAGATAGTCCACAAAGAATTTTCCCATCATTTATTATGTTTTCCAAATCTTCAGGTAATAGCCTACTTCATCGCCAAACAAGAGACCTTTAGTGAAGATAATATACAAGCACCATAAATTTTAACAGCCTCTAATGGTATTCAAAACATGTAACATATATGCTCTTTTAAGCCACACAGCCCTGTGAGGTTGGACTGGCATAATTTGTCCCCATTTTGCAGATAAGGCGACAAGATTAACATTTGATTATCGCTGATAAAGCCTAAAACCGTAATCTGAAAAGCATACCCGATTCTCTTCTTTCAGTTCATGATTAGCATATGGGATGACTGCCTCCGGGCATCTCTCTAACAGCCTGTCTATGCACCGTTCATACTCTTCCAAACGCGTACGACACAGAACATGGACGCTGAGGCCAGCAACAGTGTCTTCTGAGAGTGGCTCCAAGAATGGAATAATGGAAGCTATGTCAAATGAAGGACCACATATGAGAGACTATGAACAGAAAAGTGAAATGTTATGGAATGAGGCACCCAAAAAACTAAAGCACAACATACAGAATACAGTTTTTAAAAAGAATAAATCTCACTTGCCAAAAAAAAAAAAAAGAATGTAATTTTAGAGCACACGCATGTATTTACTTAGTAAGTCTAATTAGACCAAAGTATTAAATAATCTTGAAACCACCTCTAGTTTAAAGAAAAAAAATCTGTTTAATACAAAGCTATGATTTTTTAAAATAACATGATTGTGTTTGCTCTGAATAGACTAAGTTTAAACTAATACGAATGCTTTAAGATTCTATCCTTAGGATAGAATCAACATGGTGGTCAAGATTTATGTCTAATGATGTTCACCTCAAGAATATTTATAATACTGAAAAACTAGAAGAAATCTAAGCATTAAAAAAGAAGGGATGAGTAAATAAATTATGATATATTCAAATGATGGTATATTTTATAGCTATCAAAATTGTTTTCAAAGGACAAAATGCTCATGATAAAATTAGTAAAAAATCTCAATACAAAATTATATTCAGAACATGGTCAGTTGTATAAAGTCTACATAGGTACATGCACATCTAGAAATGCCTTTGAAAGAGCATCGAAATTTGAAATAGAGACCAGTTCACTGGAATGGGAGGACAAAGCCAACTTTCTTTTTCACACTTCCCTGTATTTTCCAAGGTTTCTAATAATAAGCATGCACTACACAAAGAACCAAAAATAAAATTTCACATTTAAGAAAACTACAGCAATCGTTAAGAACCTAATAATTTGTATCAATACCATTTGCTACAACCTGAATGACACTGAGCAGCTATTATTTCAGTAGTCAGAACTTGACAATATTTTACTTTTAAACATTTAAACTATAAATACTACTTTTGATTCTGCCACCAAAATAATCTCTGCTTTCCCTTTCTTCTGGATAAAAAATGAAATGCTCATATCCTGATTTTCTTCTTCTTGTATCCTTTTTACTGCAGCATCTTCTCAGACTCACAGGAGGACATGGAACATGAACTATCCATTTACAGTCAGCATCGTGATTTTATTCCAAATATCTACCAAGCAATGGCTAGGAGAGTAAGGTTGGTCCCTTTCCTTCCTGCCAGTTTAATATTCACCTCCATCTGAAAAATTTCCTGACAATAAGATAGCAAATATGAAATAAGGTGGTTAAAGTGAAATGAGTCAAAGCTTGGTACAAAATGGGTTACCCATGAACTTTTAAGTAGTTATATCCGTATCATCAAGAGGTTTAAAAATAAGAAACACCAGGGAATTTCTTGGCGGTCCAGTGGTTAGGACTCCGCACTTGCACTGCTGAGGGCGCGGGTTCAATCTGTGGTCGGGGGACTAAGATACCAAAGCCACACAGGGCGACCAAAACAAACAAAAACCCTCAAAATGAGAAGCACCAGACAACACATATATCACTGGATAAAAAACGGCCCACAGGTTACCACTACTCTTTAAAATACTCTTAGTGTTGTCTGTTTCTTAGCAGTGTGTTCCTTTCCTTTTTTCAATATTGGAAATGGACTCTCCACCCCGAACACAGGCACTATTTATTCCCTTTTCTGATCTAGATCCCTCAGGCTCAGCTGACTCTGCAGGGCTGGAACCCACAGAATTCTCTACATAGTCACACCTGTGGCTCTAAGAGGGGTGGATGGCAAGGAGGAGGCAGGGGGAGGGGACCAGGACAATTCTGGTAAAAGGCAGGGCACTTACTAGTTACTGTGTCATTCTGAATAGTGGCTTTTTGACACACAGATGATTTATAGATTGTTTTTAATTCTTGCACAAATATACTATTACAGTGATTAAGAACAAGGGACAAAGATTTATCTCAAATCTGTGTGGTGGTGGTGAGCTGGTGGGTAGAGGGGAGACATACAATTTTGAAAAAGCTCTCCAAGTGATTCTGAACCGACCCCCCATTCCTCTAGGTAAGAGCAGGTGAGATCTTTTTGTTTCTTGATGGTTAGTTTTTTCTTAATGACTAAGACTAATTGACCCCAGATAATTTAGAAAGAGTTATAATTAGGAAAAGGATTTAGAAAAGTTTAGACTGACTCAACTTTCTATCCTTTAATGGCAAGGATTCCCAGAAAGAAGATACCCTTTTTATTTATTTATTTTTATTTTTTATAAATTTATTTATTTTATTATTATTTATTTTTGGCTGCCTTGGGTCTTCGTTGCTGCACGCGGGCTTTCTCCAGTTGCGGCGAGAGGGGGCTACTCTTTGTTGTGGTGCGTGGGCTTCTCATTGCAGTGGCTTCTCTTGTTGCGGACCACGGGCTCTAGGCATGTGGGCTTCAGTAGTTGTGGCGCATGGGCTTAGTTGCTCCGCGGCATGTGGGATGTTCCAGGACCAGGGATCGAACCCGTGTTCCCTGCACTGGCAGGCAGATTCTTAACCACTGTGACACCAGGGAAGTCCCAAGATACCCTTTTTAAATACCTTAAAATGGATTCTAAAGATCACTGAATTATACTTTTTCAAGCAGAGATTATAAATATGCTTTGAAGATTTATCAGGGGATATTTTAAAGCACTTATTACAATTAGCATTTTAAATATGTAATTAGTACATACATTATAGGAGGGCAAGGTCTCGCCTGCCTCGTCCAATGCTGTACCTCAATCACATTTACAGTACATGATTGAGGAATATTTGTGGAATGAACAAATCTGAGACGAAGTGCTCAGCAGCCTCTGTAGCATAAGGGTACTAGAGATAAGAACCAACAAGAACCGCCTTTGGCAATTAAAAAAAAAATGTAAGTAACTCCATTCCTGGTGACATCACAGGCTGTCTAGAGGCTAAAAGACTAAGCAATATGGTCTCTTGAGCTTCGCATCCTGACACCCCATCCCCAATTTGACATTTTGGTTTCTATAAGCAATAACCACACTTCCACTAAGTTCCCAGAGTAAATCAGGGGTTGCACACTCAAAAGCTTAACAAGGTCAAACCAGACGATGAAAACCAGATGATGAAAACGCACGAAGGCGGCTGAGTATAAGGAAAATGGATGCCAGACACTGAATCTGGACCAGGGAGACATGGAGGTGGAACTGTGGCAGACAGGAC